GCTTAAATTGTCCTTTTTGTGCAAGTTGTAATTTCCCTGCTTTTACTATATTTTGAAGTGTAACGATACCTCTAACTTTTTTTTCCAAACGCTTGGTTTACCAATTTGAATTTTGCTCATCTGTATATACATTTTTGTTCCGTTTCCTTTGAATTTTATTTGTGTAATGGTAAATGCATTCCAGCGCTATCCCGGGAGGCAAGTGGCGCTTCAAGCACGGTAGCGGGCTTGGGCCGCTACCCCAGGATTGAGCGGAGTGTTAATCGCATGCCCTTTGGAATATACTGGCTGTTCCGCCATCTGCCCCGTGTACGGTATTCAGTAATAAAATAAGTACCCTTTCGGAATCTGCCTCATGTTGTTAAGTTTCGCCCTCCCCGACGGTCGCATCTTGAAGAGATGGCCGAAGCCTCGTTTCTTTCGTGATTTCCCCCACTTGTTGATGGGAGGCTTGAACACGTTTTAACTGAAAAGTCGCATGTGCTAGAGGAACACTGCAAAACGTTTACACGTTTGCATCGGGCGGCAGTCACAAGCTTCCAAATATAAACTGAAGCCTTCAAATGTCTGTCTTCCCGTCAGTTGTCACATGGCAGCTGACAATTGGGTTGCACAAAACCTCTTCCACGCCCTAGTTTCTCTGGTCTTGCAATGTTTACGTAAGTTACATTTCAGTTTTAAAATAAGCACAGTTGATTCTGAGGCTGTCTCCCCTAAGTCCAATCTGGTGTATAGATGTATTTGTTTGGGTCTCCCTGAAACAGCCTGTGTTGGCACTGACCTGTTTTTTGGGTTGTACCGCTTTGTTGGGCATGAAGTGTCACGTTTCAATTCACGTATTGGGAGCTTGAGTTCACGAAGAAGCTTCCTTTCCCAAAAGCGCATGGAGCGAAACGTCGAACAACAACGCGGTACAACTCAACAGCTTTACAGCAAAAGCATATGTCCGTATCCTTTTAAAGTATCGTTTAATGCTGGCGCTGAGTTTCCACTACCCTTCGTGTGTCCGCCAGGTGGCGCTCTGCACACTTGAGTGTCTCGCTCGCAAATGGATTGAATTGAAAAACCCCCACGCGGCTGAAGATGAACAAAGTGCATTCACACGCGTCGACGCGTACGTAAAACGGCTCGTAAACTTGAAACGACGCGGCGCGCTGGCTGGGGCTGGCAATCTCAATGTACCGGAGAAGCCCTTTTTGGGGAGCAAATCCTGCCGTGTGGAATGCGGACAAGGGGGAGGACTGCCTTGCTGCGGTGGAAACACGATGATCGTGGGTCAAAGTTTTCTGGGAGCCGGGGGGGGGGGTGCATGTTGTGTGTGCATGCGCGCATCGAGTCCAACAACGGCTGCGAAAAGCAAATGGAGGCTGTGACATCAGCCTCGGACACGATCCTAACCTCAGCGTCAATCCCGGTGACGTCACGCGTGGCCGGGGGAATTGTGTGAAGAGACAGCCAAATCGGTACGGGATAAAGGGGGGGGGGGGTCTGGGGGTCCCAGATCGGGTGTGTGTGTTGGGGCCATGTGACTAAACAAGTGGCAGAGATGGATGAGGGTGGGAGTGCCACTGGGATGAGGTGGGCGGTAGGTAATTGTATGATGAAGTGGGGGCGGTGACTAATGATACGGAGGGAAAGCGGAAAGCATTAGTATTCGGGTGTTTTTTTTGGCCCACAGATAATGCAGTTTTCTGTTAAATACAGTCGCCTGTTTTCTATGTCTGACAATGTAAATATGTACTGCACTCGTGCTGAATGTATACAATTAAAAGATTATGTAAAGGTTCAGTGGGGGTTTTCTTTTGGGACCATTGTTGACATGAATGTCTTTTCCACTCAAAAAGTACTGTATTTATGAATATCGCATATGTGCAACGGTTGTTTGATTACAAAAATATTTTTTTTTTTTACAATAAGCTTGTTTTTCGACACAACCCTAGGAAAGTTTGTATCTGGCAGTTTTAAAACGTGATGAATAAATATTTATATATAATTGGACTTTTGGTAATTTCAATTTCTGAGGACTTATTTAGTGAGTGACAGTTAAAGCCAAACATTTACACAGTGTGGAACAGCATTTTTCACAATTGAATCATTTGGCGGGACCCCGGGGTCCCGCAAAAATCAGGTCAATAATTATTATTTTTCAGTCCGCCCCACTCGTGATACCGACAGCAACGCGCCGCCCGCCCAGACTCGCGCCAACAAGCGCCAGCAGCAGGTGGCGATCAACACGATGGGCGCCACCCCACCGGCCAAACGCAAGCCCCGGGGGGCTTCCGCCGCAGTCGCGCGCGCACAACGCCCTCCGGTCAGCCGTCGATCCTCAGCTTCTTTGCCAAGGCGAGCCCGCCCCCCCAGGCAGTGAAATTAACGTGTTTATGTAATTGTTCAACTTTGTACGAAACTTAGTGCCCCGAGTAGCTCTCGACGAGGGCAATCGATTGACCACTAGTTTTGTTGTCGGTAAGGCAACAAGACTCGTGTTGCTACGCGGTTTTTCCCACCCCCGGGGCAGTGATGGGACCCCGGGGTCCCGCCAATCGCTTCAATTGTTTGAAAAAAAATTGCCCAAAAAAACCTGACAATTCCGTTAGCTTATTCAAAAAATGAAATTTTGTCGAATATATTCAATAATTTAATATGCTAAATATTGTTAAAAAAAGAGAGGCATACTGAGGAAGAGTATTTGGGCCAAAAAATTATGATCTGCTCGTACGTGCCGTCTACGGTCGAAGATGGCGGAAACATTTTTGCTTAAATTTTCTGATAAAACTACAAAATATTGCACGCAGTAGAGAAAATAAAGTTACGAAATTTCAACGGCATTTTTTTTCATCTGAAAGCAATGTTCGTCATTTTACTCAATTCGCGTAAAATGTCATTTAAATTTGCATTTATGATATATGATATGCCACAATTACCCACTGCTGTATGAAGGCCTACCCACGCTGTCACCATCCCCTTCGATTTTCTCGCGATACCACAATCCAGCTCCTGCGCGAGTTGATTTCGTCACTCCATCTCCGCGGTGATCGTCCTCTTGAGCACGTTCGCTCCTTCGGCTGCCATTCGGTGATCAGTCTTGTCCACCGGCCATCATCCCTTCGAGCCGACGGAGTCATGTCCAAGCCCACTCGATCTCAACAAAAAAAATCGGTTCGATAAAAGGCGATGCCAAAAAACTGGCACAATTGTGTCTATTCAGTGAAAACAGTTGTGAAAAATTGATGAGCAATTGCGTTTTGTTGCCTCGGAGACCGGGAGATCGATGTTCGGTCGCCACGTTGATGGCATTTCTCACTGAACAGAGAGGCGCCACGTGGAGGCTGCCATCTTGATTGGTCGACATATCGCATAACCGTCACGTGACCTCCATCTGTGATCCTATTGGACGTTGCCATCGCAGTTTTGCCCGCGAGGTTTGAGCTGCCCTCAGATTTGTCGAGATTTGGACAAAGTGGGTTCATGAACCCATCTGTGCACAATGTTCGGTTTATCATCCATTTCGCGCGTTTACTCCGCACACGCCAATTCCCTCCCACATGCAAAACACTCTCATTTGGATATAGCATAATCGTTGTATTGTGTTTGGTGCCGTCCATAAATGACGTCACGCGATTTTGGCCGATTTTTAACCCCCCCCCCCCCATTGTCACACGGTATCACAAAAAGTCAGACCCCCCTCAAATATGACATCACAAAGCTCTGCCCCCCCCCAAATATAAAACATGCTTCAAATCACTTTAAACTATTGTCATTGTAGTGCGTATTTAATGTGCCGCTGCACTCTGATGTTGTAAGAGAAAACATTTCTTAAAAAGTCTATTTAATTAAGTAGAACGTGTTGTCTATATTTATTTAAAGTTGCGCATTTTGATGTGACGTCACATTTCTCAACCCCCCCCCCCGCCTCGTCACACATCGTCACAAATGTCTGACCCCCCCCCCCCCCCTAGGTGCGTGACGTCATTTATGCACGGCCCCTAATTGTTGTATTGTGTTTGTGCTGTGCTGTACGTCCAGTACAAACACAGATGACATTCACGTTTTTCAACTGCAGTTCGCTCAAATTAAGGCAGCCGTTACGTATGTCGAGTCGTTATGACTTATAACGCTTGTAAAGCACAGTGCTGTCAGAGTAAAACTATTTGAACAATTCAATGAATTACGCAAGTGATGACATCACATAATCGCCATGCCATCAGTTCCTACCGAACACATTTTTACAAAGCATTAATTGAATGGATAACGGTGTTTTGTTTGCAACTTTAATAATCAAGTTTGTTATTTCAATAAAACATCACTTCAGGATTAAATATCTATTTTCGTAAAATTATAAACGATTATATAATCACGACGCCGATATATATTTAAAATGGGCGATGCAATTATCGTGGATTTTATATCGTCCGATATTGCGGTAACACGACTCGTTTGTCTCTCGGCTGAGCGGTAGTAGCGCGTTTACCGCTTGTTGCAAAGGTTCGCGGTTCAAACTCAGAGGCCGTCCTGATTAACACTGTTGAGTGTATGCATGCATGTTGAACTTCTGTCGCACCGTACGTAGCCAACCATACTAATCGGGTGTATTAACAATTAATACCATGCACTGTCAGCTTTACGGTGGACCTTAAATATCGCACGACGTTCTCAAAAGAGAGTAAGGCCACGCCTGCTGGCGTCACAACACAAATGTTGCGAAATAAAAAAAAAGATTCGCAAATGATCTAATTGAGTAAAACCACGTTGCGACATCGCCCCCTACTGCGAGAACATTTGCGGACAATCCCCGTCTGTGAAGCGTCACGCCTTCCTTCGCGAGATAGCCTCGCGCTATAAGAATGGCGCTGCTCTGGCGTGATGTTCACTACCTCCCCTGGTATACAGGAGGTCGTGGGTTCGATCCCAACCCTGACGCCTGTATATGTTAAGCTTGCGTGTTCTTCCCCGCGGTCGCGTGGATTTTTCCCCAGGTCCTCCGGTTTTTCCCTCTATATTTAGAATCAACATGCGGTGAGTGTAATGTGGCTGCTATACATTTCGACACGATTATCCACTTCATTGACCTATCATTTGTGGCCACGTCCCTTCTGAGTAAGAGCTATATAGCTCAGTGGGCCTTGTCAAATTTAAATAGTTAAACATTTTTACGGCGTTCATACCAAACGGACAAATGATTCGAGAGCTTGATTTGATTTTTAGCTGCGTCAGTGGGAATTGTAGGGCAGCTTGCGAGAGGGATTCTGCACCAGGTAGAGACTCGTACAGCCCACATCTCGTTTCCACTGGTACCTGGTGCGGCACGGACCAGAGAGGGGGGGGGGGGGGACACGAGCACATGCTTTCCTCGCTCTGTGCGGGTTCCGTTTGTACGATTCCCCGTATGTGCGGCTCAACATATTGCAACCCAAAATTCGCTACATGCCTATTGAATTCGACGTATGCATATAGGACTTCTTTCGCACCGTGCGTAGCCAACCGTGCTCAGGTCGGACGTGGGACAACATTGTGTGTGTGTACTGTATTGTATACACTAGTCGGCAGGCGGCTGTCTCGTACGGTGCATTGTGGGTCGGGTGACTGTGCGGTCCACGCTACACGATTATGCTTTGCGCGTCCTTTTTTTTGGAATGCATCTACTACTGCCGCATGAAGCAAGGGAAAGCCCGCACTGTGGTTTTCGTGCGTATGGCTGCGTTTCAACTTCAACGATTGCAAACGTACACCTGCGTCGCTTTAGCCACGTGAAAGCTTCTGGTGACTCTGAGCGATCGTCAAATTTCCTCCGTCGAAAGATTTCAGAACTGAGCGAACAAGCAGGTTTTTTTTTTGGCGTTTTACAAACAACGGTTGCAGCGCAGAGATTAAAAACCCACGCGGCCAAGACCAACGGTACCACATGCGGGGCCTGAGATAACAACACCCAATGCTCTTGTACACGCGGGTTGACCGACCCGCTCTCTGTACTGCCTGCCACCTCACAGCCCCAGGGGGCTTTTTGAAACGTTCCCAAAATTCGACTCAATTCTGCCAACCTTCACCTCCACAGGGATGCATGACAGGCCAAAGGGCCCATGTTAAGGAAATGTAACTTCGTGGCAATAGGGCTCCATCGTCATCATGATCAGGATCCATGGGCAGATAGCTCGAAGGTGTCCACTGCACATTTCGTCATTTGTTTTTTCCACTTTCCTCTGTCTTGTGCCAATAAACTCAAGTAGTGGCCACATCTTTCTGGCACCAATCTCTTATGACGTCATCGTCAAGCCATTCTCTGTTCGGTAGTTCCTTTCGTTCTGTTTCCTTACATTTTTCCGAACAGCGCCCTTTTAAATGTGCCTGTTGCTGTCCATCCTACACGTGTGTTCAACTCGTTCCAGTTTCCTTCTCATCGCTGCCTGCATCATGAGGTCCTCTTCTGCGTGCGACCTTGTTGCTACTTCCACGTTGGTCACTTTTTGGGTGAAGTGTTAAGGTGCAGTATCCTTCCGTAGCAATACATTTCGAGCGCCAATAGTTGATCTCTGCCAGGGCTCCAAAGGGCTATGCAATGAGTGTTATTGGGGGCCAAAGGCTGTTATAGATCTAGGGGGCTCTCATATAGTTGTTTGGGGTGGGGGGCTTTCTTCGTATGAAATACAATTCCTTCCCTTGATACTAAACACTATTGTTTTTCACCTTGGTTCCCAGGAGACATGGAACGCTGGGCTAGAGGTTGATTGAATGGTCCAAACCACATGCCAACGTTGACTCAACGTTAGCTCAACGTTGACTCGACGTTGGTATATTAACGGGTTATGTAAGTTCCCGTTTTTTTGTTTTATACGATACATGAATTGTACAGCTAAATCAAAGTTAGGAAGATCACCCACTCAACACCCTGCAGGTGACGACATCGCACTCACCCACCCACTCACCTCACTGCAGGTCACAACAACCCACCCACCCACTCACCACACTGCAGGTCACAACAACGCACTTACTCACCCACTCACCACACTGCAAGTCAGAACATCGCACTCACCCACCCACTCACCTCACTGCAGGTCACAACAACCCACCCACTCACTCACCACACTGCAGGTCACAACAACGCACTTACTCACCCACTCACCACACTGCAGGTCATCTCACTTCTCTATCTGCTTCTTCTCTCGCACTGCTCCACTCTGGAATTCGCACTTCCCATCATCGTCATCATCGTCGTCTCTTTCCCCCCAACGAGCTTATAACAACGATAATCTCGCTCAATTCCATAAGCGAGTCAGACTCTTAATGTGCAATTTTAATGGTGGGATGTGTGTCATTGTTTTGGTGTGGTCTGGGACTCTTTTTGCTGCTGTTCTGCTGCCTTGCCCTCGCTTGGGTATTAATGTACGTAGGCAATTTTAACTTATATACTTGATCTGTTTTTACAATGTTTTTTCGTGTGACTTTCTTACTTGTCCTATACTTTCCACTCCTATCGTTGTTGGCGTTGTTTGTTGTTGTAACTTTGTGACCCGCCCCTCCTGGACATCTGTGACAAAAGAGCTTCGTAGCTGATCGGATCCCTCCAGTGTGAATACATACTCTGATTCTGAACTATGCCGACAGTTTGCTGTCGGCCGCTTAACATATTAGGCCCCTCGGCCTGTGTTCCGCAACTACGCAATAATAATACGAATCGTGAAACAAAACGTGGGGTGGGAGAGCAGGGAATAAGAGTGCGTGTACCTGGTCCCTGCGGGTATCAGCAAGCTGTCGTCGGGACCCAGGGGCAGAGTCACGTCTCCGACTGCCACTCGAGAAGTCCCCTCCTGCAGCGTCCGCACGACAAGTTTCAAGGTGGTTTTGTGTCACCGCGGCGGCGAGATTGTAACTACCTCGCCTCTGGTATGCCGGTGGTTGTGGGTTCGATCCCGACCCTGACGACCCGTGTGTATTTGGAGTTTGCGTGTTCTCCCCGTGGTGGTCGCATGGATTTTTCACGGTGTCCTCCGGTTTTTCCACTCCGCGTTTAGGCTCAACATTTGGCCGCTATAAATGTTGAGCGATCATTTGTGGCTAGACTACTTCTGGAAAGGGGCTGTGAAGCTCAGTGGGCCTTTCCTGGTAAAATAAAATAGTTTTTAGTTTATTATTTTAGAACCCATGAGACTAGGATGAGGATGAGCCTCATTAACCATATTAAACATGTTAAACTATAAACTACACCATTTTGTTTATTTTAACAGACAAGGCCCACTGAGCTGTATAGCTATTGTTCAGAAACGACCTGGCCACAAGTGATAGCTCAACGAAGTAGTGGCTTATCACGTGGATATTTACAGCAGCCCAATACTCTAAACGTGCGTTGATTCTAAATGTGGCGGGCAAAATTGGAGAACCCGGAGAAAAGTCTACGCAACCAAGCAGAGGACCTGGTGAAAGAACAACCACTGGGAGAAAGACACGCAAACTCCAAATATGCAGCAGGCGTCAGGGTCGGGATCGAACCCACGACCTCATGTATACCAGGCGAGGGAGCTAACATTTCAGCGAGCATCGCAGCCAAAGTGGACGCACCATCTGCCAGATCCACGTGTCAGCCTCCTCCCCGTCACCCTCGCTCTGCCCGGCTCCGTAGATTTTAAGCTGCGACACACAAACAAACACAACACGTACGCTATACAACACAACATATCACGATTTTAAAAAACGCACATTTAACAACCGAACCTCCTGCCGCTGTCTTTTACCCTCGGCGCCAAATTCCCCCCCCCCCCCCCTTTGTCAATCAACTGCTGGATGACGAGGGGCCCGATCTACGCCGCGAGGGGTCGTGGCCTCTATTTGACCATACTTCACCGCGCCGGTCAGTGGGCGTTTGCTAAGGGAGACAGAGGGGTGTCCCCCACGCGCCCCGAGCTGTGTAAACCCTTGTAATGGAGCTGGTCCGGCTACGTCTGGGGGAGGGGCGATTTGGGGGGGGATTTTATTTGGGGGGGGGGGTGGTTGGGGAGAACTTGGGGCGGGTGATTTAGAGGAGGGGGGACATGGGGGGGGGGTTGCCCACCTGGGTTTCGTAGCGGCCCTTGAAGGGGCGCTGGGCACGCCCCTCCAGCAGGTTCACGCGCTGGCGCTGCAGCCACGGGGAGAAGGGCAACGGAGGCTCCACCTCGCGCTCCACCTCCAACGGGAACGGGGGATCCACTCTCTGTGCAGCTATGGCGGGCGGGAAGGGATAAGGCGTGGGGGGGGGGGACAGTGATGAATCAGGAAAACGAGCAAGCGACAGTCATCATAATGCAGGTACAAGCCCTTCTGTCAATCCACTGCTGGATTGACGAACGCCTCCTCCTCCTGGTGGGCGATTTTTCACAATGAAAATTCCAACATCATCTTAAAAATCATAGTGTTTGCAACTCGATTCCCATGGAAAGGGAGTCTCGCAAACTTTGTCACGCGTGCGGTGATCCACCGGCGCTTGCGTCTCAAGAGTGTTGCATTGCAAGCCGCGCGCATGGAAACTTCTCTTGGAAAAAAAAAAAGATGCCAGTCTCTCCACCCGACAACTATTGTTGACTCTATGCCTGCAAAACGGCGAAATCCTCACCGGTAAGGGGTGTCCTGGTCCGGCACTGCTCAGAAGTGAAGAACCTGAGGGAGACGAATACAAGGAGGACGAGGGGAGGGGGTTGTCGCTCAGGCAGGGTCAGCACGCAATTTGTCGCGAAAGTTGGACTTACAGTACAGCCACCATGTGCCACACTGTGACCATGCAAACCCAAGCTATGAGCCACTGTTGGGCCAAGTGCTGTAAAGTGTCGTTCATGAGCATCTATTAAAGCCAGCAACGGTACACGAGGAGCTGGGTGGCCAGCACCACGCCCGGCCGCCTTTGTCTCCCCAGTGGCGGTTATTTTACACAAAGCACCAGGTACTCATTTGAGGCTCCACACACTGACACACACAAAATAAAGATCCCCCGTATAGCTTAACATACTGTAGGGGCAAGTGCTGTTAGCGAGCACCTATGAAGGCCGGAACGGTACACGAGGGGGTGGGTGGCTAGCACCACGCCCGACTGCCTTTGTCTCCCCAGTGGCGATGTTTACACACCGCACCGGGTACTCATTTGAGGCTGAGTCGACCTAGGGGAGGCCCAGGACCGGTTCAGATAATCGTCACTGGTGTTGGCCGTGAGCCGGAATCGAACGTGGGTTGCCGGGTTCATAGCGCAGCGCGCTAACCGCTACACTACCGCTCCACACACACAGGCACAACAACAACAACCGCCATTCGCCACTAAGTGGCGGTGACGTCACTACGACGCTTGTGCCAGGCCATGTGCACCTTGAGGCCACGTGGAGTGTCGAACGCCCGCTGGCAGGAGGTCACGGGGCAGACCCAGGTGCCACGGGTCGACTGACTGAGATGACTGGCTGATGCACCACCTGTGCCCCCTACTGTGCCAACCTGCTCTGCTTTAGCCACCCGGCGCTCCGCTCGTTGTTGTGAGCGTCGCTCCTCCGCCCTCCGTTGTTGTTGGAGGGCGACTACCTCCAACTGCCCAGTAGCGTACTTCACGAGCCTCCTCCACAGAGGCCGATCTTGACACCGCTGGTACCAGCCATCGGCAAGTCCACTCAGCTCCACGTCCTCCTGCCGCGCTCGTTTAGCCCCCTCGATCCGGCCGAACAAAAGCTGTTTCGGCATGCGGTGGCTGGGCATGCGGGCTACATGACCCAGCCATCGCAGCCTTGCCCGCCGGAGGAGCTCACCGATGGGACCTTGCCCAGATCTTTCAAGGATTTGTAAGCTCCTCACACAATCCAGTCTGGTTAAACCCAGGATGGATCGTAGGCAGGCCAGCCTAAATGTTTCTAACTGGCGAAGATGTTCCATTAAGGGGGTCCACGTTTCGCAAGCACAACACACACAGGCACACACACACAGGCAAATTTATGGCAGTGAATCTGGCTAGGTGACACTTGGCCAGGGTTGGTCTGTGTCACCGGGCAACCCAAGTATTTGGCTGAGGTGCCGGTACTGGAGTTGGGCCAATACGCACTGGGGACACTCAAAATCTGGTTCCCTACCTTTTCCAATGACGGTGACGATGAAGGCGCCGGTGATGATGATGATGGATTTTTAAAAATAGGCTTCACCATTTCTGGCAATAAAACGGGTATTAGGATGTTGAAACATCTAATAGATACCCATTGTAAGGCATCAAGTCTCCATAAACATACTCGTGGTTAAATATGCAAACAATCATGCTCTGATAATTATATATGCATTGTCTTTGAAACTGATTGACCTACACCAGACACAGCCTTCTTTATCGCCTTGTCTCACCCGCAGTGTTAGACCAGACGAAGCCAAAAGGCGAGCAATACAAATGTAATGCCAAGGATGAAAGTGTTCAAAGCTCATAATAGGGGTTTTCCCCTTTTTTTCTGGCAACAAAACTGAAACCTTTTTACGAGGAATCATGTGTGCATCAACCACAATACTTGTGGTCAAAATGCAAACAAAAAACACACTGATAGTATATGCATTGGCGTCCTCTGGTCTAGCAGAAATTGAGACGAGGCTCAAAAGAAAGCCGTCTCTGGTGTGGACCAATCAGTTTCAATGCCAATGCATATACTATCATAGTGTGTTTTTTGTTTGCATTTTGACCACAAGTATTGTGGTTCATGCAGACATGATTCCTAGGAAACAGGTTTCAGTTTTGTTTCCAGAAAAAAGGGGAAAACCCTATTATTATATTTTGGTACTGGCAAAGGAGGTCTAATGATGTTCAAGGCTCGCCAATGATGTCGCTGACAATAATGCTCATTACGCCGAAGATGGAGACGACGGCGATGATGATTATTATAATCATGATTACGATGACGACGCCGACGATGATGCCAATGATGATGACGCCGATAGTCACGATGACGCGAATGATGATGTTGATCACAACGATGATGATTATGATGACGATGATGTCCGTGATGAAGATACCTCGAGTAAACGTGCCATGCGTATATTGTCAAATGTTGTTGATCGCTCTCTAACAGTGCTGCTGCTAAAGTAGTAATACATCGATCGCTTTATTAATCAGCTATGTGGGGTGGATGAGGGTTTACGACACACTAAGCTCAAACGAAACTATTTTTATTTGTTCAGATAAGGCCCACTGAGCTAAGTAGCTCTTTTTCAGAAGCGACCTGGCCGCATATGAGAGCCCAACGAAATGGCTTATCACGTGGCAATGTATAGCAGCCAAATCCTCTAAACGCATGTTGACTCCAAATGTGGAAGGGAACACCAGAGGAGCTGGACAAAGAACAACCACTGGGAGAAAGACACGCAAACTCCAAGTAGCAGGCGTCAGGATAGGGATCTAACCCACGACTTCCTGTACACCATGCGAGGTAGTTAACATCTCACCTCCGCAGTGCCACACCATCTTACGACCCAGAAATCTATTACGAACCACGGCAGGACACCTCTTGGCAATCAGCCTTGGCACTCGGCGAGACCGAACGTAACTCTTTGATGATGGGAGCGAGCTGGGTGACCAGGTCTTCACAGCGGAACCATCGCTCGAACAGCACCTCCTGTGATCCGTCAACGTAGTACCTGGGGTCAAAGATAAAGATCCCATCTCCACATGTAGCCTACATAGACTATTCGGGCAAGTGCTGCTAGTAAGCAAGCACCTGTTACGGATGGCATGGGCCACGAAGGGTGGTGTGGCCAGAAACACTAACCGGTGGTGATGTTTACTTAAACGATTTTTTTTTTATTTTAACCAGCTAGGGCCCACCGAGCGATATGGTTATTTTTTCAGAAGCAACCCGGCTCTCACAAATGATAGCTCAACGAAGTGGCGGCTTACCATGTGGGAATGTTTAGCAGCCAAATAATCTCAGCGCGTGTTCATAAATGTGGAGGGAAAAACAGTAGGAGCCTGAGAAAAATCTACGCGACCATGGGGAGAACATGCAAACTCCAAATATACAACAGGCGTCAAGGTCGGGATCGAACGTACGGCCTCCTGTATACCAGACGAGGTAGTTAGCATTTCCCTACCGTGGCCCCCTAATCATTTACACACGGCAGTAATCATTTAAGCCAGGGTCGACCTAGAGGAGGCACATGACCAGATCACATATTCGTCACTGAACTCGGGTCAGTACATTCGCCTCGAGGCCACTTCTCCCCACGCACATTCACAATTGACACAAGTGTGCACACACGCATACACATCGATGCCCACAAACACAAATATCCCCCATTTGGCTTACACAGGCTGGCGGGACAAGTGCTGCTAGCGGGCACCTTGACGGCCGACAGGGCGCACACGAGAGAGTGGTGGGGCCACAACAACGCCCGGCCGCCTTTATATCCCCAGTGTTGTGCAATGCAGTGCTAATCATTTAGACACCGCAACCACTCATATGAGGCTGAGTCGACCTAGGGGAGGCCCAGGAACCGGTTCAGATAATCGTCACTGGTGTTGATGGCCGTGAGCGGGAATCGAATTTTGGTTGCCGGGGGTCCCTAGCGCAGCGCGCTAACCACTGCGCCACCGCTCTCCACGCGTGCACACACGCGCACACACTGATGCCCCTCATTCAGGGCAGGTTTCTCGATGGGCGTTTCCCTGGGCTGCATGGATTCTCGTGCTCCCATTGGTTCCTACTGCGCCCTCCCTCCCTGCCCCCGTGCGTGCGTGTGTGTGCCCGTCTCTTTGTTCTGCCTGTTAGGTAACCCTCATCCCCGGGGTCACGGGTGCGACTCCAGTCCAGCGTGCCGCGGGCCGATGATCCGGTTCGGGTTTTTCCGCGGCGCCGATTGGATCTGTGCCGCAGTCACTTCGGGGGGGTGGGCGGGGGGGAGTGACTGCGGCATCCCGTCGGGCCGCGCGGCTGAATAGATTTGCGCCGAAACAAGGGCGTGCAAATAAAGCGAGGAAGAAACGCCGCCGAGCCCGTTGGAAGGCGAGGTCGACTCCACGGCACGACCACCGACACAACCCACCCGCAGTGACCAGCGTGGAAGACACGGGGTGGGGGAAGTGTGGACAAACAACCCCTCTGACCGACAAGGCTTCAACGGGGTGTGGGCATCCGTCATCCAGCAGCGGATCGACCACGGTGTCGTGATAGATCTGGGAGACTGCCGATTGACGGTGGCGGTGGTGGTGGCTAAGCTGCTGCACGTGGCTGCTGCCTGTGATGGAGCAGCGAAGGGTTGGTGGATCACCACCGCACAGATGTTGCGGTGAAACTCTCTTCCCGTGTGGGCGTCGAGAAGGTGCCGTACCCTGGCTAGAGCAAGTGGACTAGTCGCCATCTGTTTCCATCTGTACGGGGATAGAGCGTTGCCCCCTCGCGGAAGGCGTCTGTTTCCTCCTGGTTCCTCCGGTTTCCTCCCACGTGTATAATAATAAACACACCCATCATTAATCAGCTGGAAGCATCTTTAAATGATAAAAGCCCACTGTAGCAGCAGCAGGACCCTCCTGAAAGATACTCTGACGTCTCAGTGTGGCTCTCCTGGATAAATATGAATAAAGATTAAAGGAAAGGAAAAAAATAAATTTTAAAAAGATTGGGGCTGATCGCCACAACCAAGGCAATGGCCCTAGCAACATTACCAGCGTCGCCCCTGCTGCTGATGCTGCCCCTATTGCCTGGAACTTCCTCCCCCAGCAATCCGTGCTGTGGACTCCCTGCCACTCTTAGAGCTCAGGCTCAAGACTCCACTGCTGTGCCTATGACTGGCAATCTCTCTCTCTACAATATCAGTGGCAACATAACCATGTGGCCAAGTGGCATCACACAGAGGGCACCACCGTCACGGATGATACCCCCCCACATCACCCACCCATCCCCCCTCCTCCATCATCATCATCCCCCCTTCTTCCCACCCTCGACTGTCCCCCCACCCTCCCTCCCCTCACCCTCGACCGCCCCCCCCCACCCTAGCCCCCCCTCCCTCACAAACCTGAGGCCATCGAGCTCTGACTCCTGGCGCTCGCGTTCTATCACGAGACCCATGGTGCCCGCGCGGCGCTGGGGCGAGTGCGGGACGCGAGCTGGCAGCAAAAACATCTACGGGGTGGGGGGGGGGGCAGAGACACGGGACGAGTGGAAGGGGGCTCACGAGGTGGTGATGGGGGGGGGGGGGACTTGGGAATGCATGAGGCAGCCGCGGAGGTCAGAGGTCAGGGAGGTTAGTCGGCACCGCTTTGATTCTGCGTTTGAATCGAGGTTTCAGCCGCCCGTGATTAAACCGGGTTCTCCGGTTTGAGGTTCCCGCGAGCAGCACTTTCCCAGCTCGCCTGTGCAGGCTATACGGGGGATCTTTGTATGTGTGTGTGTGTCAATGCGTACGCGTGTGTGAATGTGTGTGGGGAGCGGTAGTGCAGCGGTTAGCGTGCATGCGCTACAAACCCGGCGACCCGAGTTCGATTCCCGGTCACGGCCAACACCAGTGATGATTATCTGAACCTGCCCTGGCGAACAGCACTTGCTTGGAGTAGTAGCCTCGAGGTGACTGCACTGCACTGTAGTGAATTGATGGCCTCGGCCAGGGCAGCAATGGCTCACGTGGAGAAGCACGTGTTCACATCGAGGCCCACAGACTCACTCGGAGATCCATAGACTCTGCATATAGACGTCATTGCGATTAACACCGGGATCCCGGTCGCCGATAACTTGCATAGACTCACATAGAGTCCCATAGACTTACACAGAGACCTCTGCACTGACAAAAAGCCAATGTGATGAAAACCACGCTATACAGTGAAGTGACAGTCCGTGGTCTCAACAACAAACAAAACGCCCCCATGCATTTAGACGCGTGAACAAAAGCGGCTTGGGGAGAATGAGCGGCGCTCGTGAGTTCAGCAGCGTGCTCGTGAACTCAAGGATCGCGAACGCTGGGTCTTGGTTGAACGCGGAGCGCCCCTGCAAGCGTTGAAATGTTTGATTGGGCAAGAGGAGGCGCGGTATAATAGCCGAGGTGCGACCGTGTGAGATACATCAAATATTGGGCGAGATGTTAACTACCTCGCCTGGTATACAGGAGGTCGTGGATTCGACCCCGACGCCTGTATACTTGGAGTTTGCTCTCTCCCCGTGGATTTTTCTCCGGGTTCTCCCCTCCGCATTTAGAATCAGCGCGCGTTTAGATAAGTGGTTCTTAACTGCAGCCTTGCAGTAAAGGTTTTCAATCGTAAAAAAAATAAATTATGATGTTAACAAAATACATTGGTTTTGATCAAACAGAGTAGTTGTAACTAACGTGCTCAATTAGTAGTTGTAACTAACCGTGCTCAATTTGTGTTTCGATTATATATCTTCTAAAGAAAAAACTCTCACACCCCCAGGGGGTGCAGCGTGCACCCCAGGTGAAGAGCGAGACAGCTCAGTGGGCCTCACCTGGTTTAAAGAGTCTAGTAGTTTAGTTTAGTTACGGCGCCACTGGGGGTAGCCGAGCGACGGCTCCTCACCTCTCCCTCCTTGATGTGGATGTCCCGCCTCTGGCCGCGTTCCATTATCTTCAGACACATGTCGCCCTTGATCTGGAAGAAGAGCTGCTCGCCACAGAGCGGTGGGCAACACAAACACAGCGAGAGACGCGAAGGGCTCCCGTGTCACCTCAACAGACTGTTGGAAGCAGGAGGAGGGAGTGCTGTGAGCGAGCGCCGATCACAGCAGGCGCGGCGCACGACGGGGTGGTGCGGTAAGGAACCCACGGTAAGGAACCCACGGTAAGGAACCCACGGTAAGGAACCCACGGTAAGGAACTGACGGTAAGGAAGCCACGGTAAGGACCTGACGGTAAGGAACCCACGGTAAGGAACCCACGGTAAGGAACCCACGGTAAGGAACCCACGGTAAGGAACCCACGGTAAGGATCCCACGGTAAGGAACTGACGGTAAGGAACCCACGGTAAGGAACCCACGGTAAGGAACCCACGGTAAGGAACCCACGGTAAGGAGCCCACGGTAAGGAACCCACGGTAAGGAACTCACGGCAAGGAACCCACGGTAAGGAACCCACGGTAAGGAACTGACGGTAAGGAACCCACGGTAAGGAACTCACGGCAAGGAACCCACGGTAAGGAACCCACGGTAAGGACCTGACGGTAAGGAACCCACGGTAAGGAACTGACGGTAAGGAACTCACGGCAAGGACCCCACGGTAAGGACCTGACGGTAAGGAACCCACGGTAAGGAACTCACGGCAAGGAACTGACGGTAAGGAACTCACGGCAAGGAACCCACGGTAAGGAACCCACGGTAAGGAACTGACGGTAAGGAACCCACGGTAAGGAACTGACGGTAAGGAACCCACGGTAAGGAACCCACGGTAAGGAACCCACGGTAAGGAACCCACGGTAAGGAACCCACGGTAAGGAAGCCACGCTCGGTCGCCTTTGTTTTGTCTCCACCACCCGTGCTGGTGTTTACACACCGCCCTCACCAGCTACTCATTCGAGGCTCAGTTGACCTAGGGGAGGACCCAAGACGGGTTTAGATTTTCGTCACTGGTGTTGGCCGTGAACGTGAATCGAACCTGGGTGGCCGGGTTTGTAGCGCAGCGCGTTATCCCTTGCGCCGCACACACACACACCCGTGCCCCGCCCCTCGCACCACCCACCCCCCATGGACGACCCTGGTGATGGTAGTGGTGGCATTGACAGATTTGGCTGCGTTTAAATATCAATCTGGACCGTGATCGTTGCGAATTATTGTGGCTCTCTGATGATTTACAAGAGCACGAAATTGGTCAAGGTTTTTGCCTGTATGGAATGTGGAATATATACACGTTTGCCTTGAACCATATGTAACATGGCCTGAGTTGACGCAGGTGAATTAGTAACTCGAGGTACACGTGAACTGTGGACTGATAGGGAAAGTATGCACAGCAATCGCCATGAAGCTGCTATTCAACAAAAAATATATATTCCTCGAGTATCTTAGCTGGCTACTGGCTGGGTCTCCTCTCCACGCCGACGATAGCTCTGTTGTGAGTTGCCGCTGTTGGCCGTCGCCACCAAAACTAGCTGGGTAGCTGGCTACGTGGGTTGTTCTGTGTAACAAGTCAACACTGGGTTGAGCTGAAACGGCGGAAGAAGGAGTTTGGAAGACGTCGCAAAGATTATAAAAATAGATAGCGACACCGATGAGGCGGGAAAACGAACACAGAAGACTCACCACGGTTCATTTAACATTGCTCTACCTTTTCAGTCTGTGCTCCTCTTTCACCGGAATATTTTTTAAAATCGTAGAGAATAGATTTTACTGGTAGGAGCCTCCTGGTTAAACACCAGCCCACAGGGGATTATTGTGTCCGTCCGTCCGCCGTGCATCCAAAAATGGGAGGGGTGGGGCTGGGTGGAGAGGGGAGGGTGGGGAGGGGCTGCGTTGGGAGGGGTGGGGCTGGGTGGGGTGGGAGGGAGGAAGGGGCTGGGTGGGGAGGGAGGGAGGGGAGGGGCTGGGTGGGGAGGGGTGGGGCTGGGTGGAGAGGGGAGGGTGGGGAGGGGCTGCGTTGGGAGGGGTGGGGCTGGGTGGGGTGGGAGGGAGGGAGGGGCTGGGTGGGGAGGGAGGGAGGGGCTGGGTGGGGAGGGAGGGGCTGGGTGGGGAGGGAGGGGCTGGGTGGGGAGGGGAGGGTGGGGAGGGGCTGGGTGGGGAGGGGTGGAGCTGGGTGGGGAGGGAGGGGCTGGGTGGGGAAGGCGGACACGTCACACACGAGGGGGTGGGTGGCCACCAACCACGTCCGGCCATCTTCACGACATTTTCCCCTCCACGTGGAGAAACAACAACATGCGTCTGGAGTATGGCGGCTGCTCTCAATCTCTACTTTATAAGCCGCCAATTCGTGGGTATTGTACTCTCTTCTTTTGAGGAACAGCTTTTCTTTTCTCTCCATCATCCCAGGTCCCCACTCGGTCCCCACCCTTCACGCCGGCTTGTGCCCGCCCTCACAGTGGGGCATATTTGCGGAATACACCACGTGGTGCCGCCGTTGACCCTGGCCATTGACCGAGCAACCCAACGTTCCTACCAGCTCCCTCCGCAGGAATGTGTTAAAAAAAATACCTATAATACATTATCTTGGCATTTTGTTATTACTACTCGACTACACAAAAGCAGATAACTTGTAGTGCTCCGATTATCACAGGAGCATCGCGATACAACGACTATGAACAGTGACATCAGTTTCTTGTTTTGCCTTGCAGGGTAACAACCACAACAACCACGACTAAGGGGTGGTTCTCTACTCGCTCACATTGACAACGCCGTCGTTAATCCACTGCTGGATGAAGGTGGGGGCCGAGCAAAGGGGCTATTGGTCATCTTCCCAGTCTGACTACAGTCCCATCCACAACCCCCCCCCCCCCCCCCCACCTGCGACCTGGCCTTGACCCTCAACCAACCTGACAATTCGATAAAAAAAAATTAACTCGATAGTTCAAGATCCGCAATGCGCCTGCTTGAATACGAGACGGTGTTGGATCCTCAATGCAAAGAAATAACTGTCACGAAGCGGTCCTTAAAGAGCCGCGTACGGCTCCGTAGCCAAAGGTCAACTGACCCCCCTTGCTGGCCCGACCCACGCAGCCCTGTAGCTTGACCTAGTTTGAAAGAGAGGGGCATTCAACGGCTCGTTGGCAATAAGGCCGACGTTAAATTAACTTTAAGGAGAAGTCCAAGGCTGCACGGAACGAGTCCGCGAGATGCACCTCGCATGGGTTCGAGCCCGCACTCGGGCCTGGCTCTCAAGAGACGCGCCACTGTGCTCACAGCACACGGGGAAAGGCTGCGACTCCCCAATTGCTTACTAAGTTCTAGAGCAGTGTTCTTCACTCAGTTCTAGAGCAGTGTTCTTCACTAAGTTTTATAGCAGTGCACTAAGTTCTAGAGCAGTGTTCTTCACTAAGTTCTAATGCAGTGTTCTTCACTAAGTTCTATAGCAGTGCACAAAGTTCTAGAGCAGTGTTCTTCACTAAGTTCTAGAGCAATGTTCTTCACTAAGTTCTATAGCAGTGCACTAAGTTCTAGAGCAGTGTTCTTCACTAAGTTCTAATGCAGTGTTCTTCACTAAGTTCTACAGCAGTGTTCTTCACTAAGTTCTACAGCAGTGTTCTTCACTAAGTTCTACAGCAGTGTTCTTCACTAAGTTCTACAGCAGTGTTCTTCACTAAGTTCTACAGCAGTGTTCTTCACTCAGTTCTAGAGCAGAGTTCTTCACTCAGTTCTAGAGCAGTGTTCTTCACTAAGTTCTATAACTGTGCACTCAGTTCTAGAGCAGTGTTCTTCACTAAGTTCTACAGCAGTGTTCTTAAATAAGTTCAAGAGCAGTGTTCTTCACTCAGTTCTAGAGCAGTGTTCTTCACTCAGTTCTAGAGCAGTGTTCTTCACTAAGTTCTACAGCAGTCTTCTTCACTAAGTTCTAAGGCAGTGTTCTTCACTAAGTTCTAGAGCAGTGTTCTTCACTAAGTTCTAGAGCAGTGTTCTTCACTAAGTTCTACAGCAGTGTTCTTCACTAAGTTCTACAGCAGTGTTCTTCAATAAGTTCTAGAGCAGTGTTCTTCACTCAGTTCTAGAGCAGTGTTCTTCACTATATTCTAGAGCAGTGTTCTTCATTAAGTTCTAGAGGAGTGTTCTTCACTCAGTTCTAGAGCGGTGTTCTTCACTAAGTTCTACAGCAGTGTTCTTCACTAAGTTCTAGAGCAGTGTTCTTCACTCAGTTCTAGAGCAGTGTTCTTCACTAAGTTCTATGGCAGTGTTCTTCACTAAGTTCTAGAGCAGTGTTCTTCACTGAGTTATACAGCAGTGTTCTTCACTATGTTCTAGAGCAGTGTTCTTCAATAAGTTCTACAGCAGTGTTCTTCACTCAGTTCTAGAGAAGTTTTCTTCACTCAGTTCTAGAGCAGTGTTCTTCACTAAGTTCTATAGCAGTGCACTAAGTTCTAGAGCAGTGTTCTTCACTAAGTTCTAGTGCAGTGTTCTTCACTCAGTTCTAGAGCAGTGTTATTCACTAAATTTGAGAGCAGTGCTCTTCACTCAGTTCTAGAGCAGTGCTCTTCACTAAGGTCTACAGCAGTGTTCTTCACTAAGTTCTAGAGCAGTGTTCTTCACTAAGTTCTAGAGCAGTGTTCTTCACTAAGTTCTACAGCAGTGTTCTTCACTAAGTTCTAGAGCAGTGTTCTTCACTAAGTTCTACAGCAGTGTTCTTCACTAAGTTCTAAAGCAGTGTTCTTCACTCAGTTCTAGAGCAGTGTTTTTCACTCAGTTCTAGAGCAGTGTTCTTAACTAAGTTCTACAGTAGTGTTCTTCACTAAGTTCTAAGGCAGAGTTCTTCACTAAGTTCTAGAGCAGTGTTCTTCACTAAGTTCTAGAGCAGTGTTCTTCACTAAGATGTAGAGCAGTGTTCTTCACTCAGTTCTAGGGCAGTGTTCTTCACTAAGTTCTAAAGCAGTGTTCTTCACTAAGTTCTATAGCAGTGTTCTTCACTAAGTTCTAGAGCAGTGTTCTTCACTAAGTTCTAGAGCAGTGTTCTTCAATAAGTTCTAGAGCAGTGTTC